CTATAGAGTTGGGAAGAAAGTAACATTAGTTTACTCTGGTTTTTTTTTTCCATTTTGCTGACAGTGCCCAACGTTTCACCTACATATGTTAAGGAGTTTTAAAATAATCTGAAATGTGACATCCTGAAAAAAAGCATATATCAGCCCCCCTATTGCTGCCTCCCTGTTTCCCAATGGCTCTTGTCACTGGCACCAAAATTGTTCCAGGTCAACAATGAAGTTCTCAAAAAGAGACACATGGTATTAAGGCCAACTGAAAAAGCCAGATAGATCTATTATGATAAGCTACTTAGCAGACAGCAATAACCTACCTAGTAGCTGCTAATTAATTCAATTCAATTAATTTAGCATTCAATTTACAACCCTCTCTTCCTCAAAACTACAAAAAAAAAAATTAGAAAAAAAGCACAGCTGTCAACACTGTCAACTATGTCACTTGAAAAGTTCCTGCGGTGGGCATCTCTAATGATACAAGCAAGCCTGTTTTTGTCAGCAGCTGCTGAGTCCTGCAACCCTTGGGACCCTGACTGTAGCCATGCTGCGGCTTCCTCTGCCTGATCGGTCCCCACCCTTTGGAGCACTTCCTCTTTGCTTTCAAAAATGTTGTGCACCATAGAGCAGGCTGAAACAATACAGAAGGTACAGTCAATAACATTGTTTCTCTGCAGAAGGCCCCTCCATCTTACCTTCATCCTTGCAAAGGCACATTCAACCACCATTCTGCTCTTGCTGAAGTAGGAGTGAAAACAATAATCAGAAGTGGAAGCATATGCCCCTGTTGACATAACCAGGGTACAATGTTGTAAACCAGGGGAACAATAGGTTAGCACGGTCTCACACTATCTCAAACGAATGTAGGAATTGCCAGACCAGAGTAGATCAGTAGGTCCCATCTAGCCTGTCTTGGATGGTGATCTGTACCAGATGGTTTCTGAAGAAGATGTAAGAAAACCTATAGTGGACATCTGTGGAATAAGCCATTGGGGAAGTTTCTTCCTAACCCATCGGTCAGTGGTTGGCTTATGTCCAGAAGCAGAAGAGTTATACCCCTTATAAATTGAGTTGATCAAACCTAATATAATTGTTCATGTTCTCTTCCATGTCAGTGTCTAATCCTTGGTTGCGTGGTAAGTACAAACTATTATTACTCTTAATGGAAAGTGTAGTTCCTTGCCATAGCAAGAAACACCAATATGTTTGTACCTGATTTCCACATACCACATATTTCCTAACCAATTCAGCCCAACTCTGAGCTACAATATGTTAATCAAGTAAAATATTTGAGTGAAAAAACAGAAGAAAAACAGATGAGGAACACTGTAAAGTTTGTGTTAAACTCTGTCCTAGTGAAAACTCCAGATAAAGAAGAAATATTGTCCATTCTGAACATATAAATGCCAATGAGCGGGAGGAGGCACAGGAAAAAGGGGCTGGACAAGGTATTAGTAAACAATCAGTTCCTATAATGAGCTCTCACACCTGGCCCCACGGGAAGAGGTTTTTCTGGCCCAGAACGTATTCTCCCTGAGACATTTGTACACGTCTAGTCCCAGTTTTTGTTTCTGAAGTATTGCATTATACAGCCTGTGATTAAACAGGTATTGATTTTTCCAGGTTTTACAAGTAAAACGTTAACTATGCAACCACAAAGGCAAGGACGGACCACGGGGAAAGAGGGGAAATGGAATGAAGGAGACAGCCAGAGTCAGGCAGGGGGACGGAGACAAATGAAACAAATAGCAGGCGTGTTCACGGTGGTCATAGTTCTGAACTGGACATGCCATAATAATGATACCTTACATTTACAGTGCGCCTTTTATTCCTGTATAGTTTTATACATACAGCATCACTGAAATACAGTCAGCTCTTCATAGAACTGTAGAATCATAGAACTGGAAGGGACCTCGAGAGGTCATCTAGTCCAGTCCCCTGCACTCAAAGCAAGTGTTATCTAGACCATCCCTGACAGGTGTTTGTCCAACCTGCTCTTAAAAATCCCCAATGACGGAGATTCCACCACCTCCCTAGGCAATTTATTCCAGTGCTTAACCACTCTGACAGTTAGGAAGTTTTTCCTAATGTCCAACCTAAACTGCCATTGCTGCAATTTAAGCCCATTGCTTCTTGTCCTATCCTCAGAGGTTAAGAAGAACAATTTTTCTCCATCCTCCTTGTAACAACCTTTTATGTACTTGAAAACTGTTATCATGTCCCCTTTCAGTCTTCTCTTCTCCAGACTAAACAAACCCAATTTTTTCAATCTTCCCTCATAGGTCATGTTTTCTAGATCTTTAATCATTTTTGTTGCTCTTCTCTGGAATTTCTCCAATTTGTCCACATCTTTCCTGAAATGTGGCACCCACAACTGGACACAATACTCCACTTGAGGCCTAATCAGTGCAGAGTAGAGTGGAAGAATTACTTCTCATGTCTTGCTTACAATACTCCTGCTAATTCATCCCAGAATGTTGTTTGCTTTTTTTGCAACAGCGTTACACTGTTGACTCATATTTAGTTTGTGATCCACTATGACCCCCAGATCCCTTTCCACAGTACTCCTTCCTAGGCAGTCATTTCCCATTTTGTATGTCTGCAACTGATTGTTCCTTCCTAAGTGGAGTACTTTGCCTTTGTCCTTATGGAATTTCATCCTATTTACTTCAGACCATTTCTCCAGTTTGTCCAGATCATTTTGAATTTTAATCCTGTCCTCCAAAGCACTTGCAACCCCTCCCACCTTGGTATCATCCGCAAACTTTATAAGTGTACTCTCTATGCCATTATCTAAATCATTGATGAAGATATTGAACAGAACCGTACCCAGAACAGATCCTTGCGGGACCCCACTCGTTATGCCCTTCCAGCATGACTGTGAACCACTGATGATTACTCTCTGGGAACGATTTTCCAACCAGTTATGCACCCACCTTATAGTAGCTCCATCTAGGTTGTATTTCCCTAGTTTTTTTTTTATGAGGTCATGTGAAACAGTATCAGAGGGGTAGCCATGTTAGTCTGAATCTGTAAAAAGCAACAGAGGGTCCTGTGGCACCTTTAAGACTAACAGATGTATTGGAGCATAAGCTTTCGTGGGTGAATGCCCACTTCATCAGACGCAAGTGGGCATTCACCCACGAAAGCTTATGCTCCAATACTTCTGTTAGTCTTAAAGGTGCCACAGGACCCTCTGTTGCTTTTTACATGTGAAACAGTATCAAAAGCCTTACCAAAGTCAAGATATACCACATCTACCACTGCCCCACTACCCACAAGGCTTGTTACCCTGTCAAAGAAAGCTTATCAGGTTGGTTTGACACAATCTGTTCTTGACAAATCCATGCTGACTGTTATTTATCACCTTATTATCTTCTAGGTGTTTGCAAATTGATTGCTTAATTATTTGCTCCATTATCTTTCCGGGTACAGAAGTTAAGCTGACTGGTCTGTAATTCCCTGGGTTGTCCTTATTTCCCTTTTTATAGATGGGCACTGTATTTGCCCTTTTCCAGTCTTCTGGAATGTCTCCCGTCTTCCATGACTTTTCAAAGATAATTGCTAATGGCTCAGATATCTCCTCAGTCAGCTCCTTGATTATTCTAGGATGCATTTCATCAGGCCCTGATGATTTGAAGACATCTAACTTGTCTAAATTTCCCTATTTTAGACTCTGATCCTACCTCATTTTCATGGGTATTCACTGTTTTAGACATCCAATCGCCACTAACCTTCTTGGTGAAAACCAAAACAAACAAGTCATTAAGCACCTCTGGGTGAAGGGTGATAGCCCTGTGTCCAGCCAGAGACCAACACTAATGTGAAAGAACATTTTGGTTAAGGACACCGGAGTAAAATGCTGCTCATATAGTAAGTGCCATGTGATTAAAGTCTATAGAGAATGGAGAGCGGATGGACCTTGGATTTTAAGATCTTGACCAAAATACACCCTTCACCCTATTACGTGTAGACAGTAAAGAAAGAACACATGGAAAGAACGTGATTAGTCTGACTCAGATGGAAGAAAGGCTGAGATGACCGGATTTGGATGTGTGGGTCTAGCAAGACTAGGAGTAAAATTTTCAAAAAGCATTGAAATGACTCAGGGGCCCTAAGTGACTTAGGCCCCTAGGAATCTAAATCCCATTGCCTTTGTGATACATAGGCTCCTAAGTGGCTAAGTCACCTAGGTACTTTTGAAAAATTTACTCTCTCTTTGCTTCAGGCTTATCTCTAAACTTCCCCTACTTATGTCTGAAGAAATACAGTACGATGCACAGGGCTTCAGTCTAAGCTGGTGATTGAATGATACCAACAAGACTTTAAATGTCAGAAAACTATACACTGAGACCTCCATAGATTTGTTTTATGGGGAGACAGGAGGTGGCCCCTGAGTAGGAGCTATAACCTTTAAACACACACTTTAAACTCTGCCTAGTGCCCCAAGGCTGCTCCAAGGGAAGTAGGAGCAGGGGCAGGGGCAGGACTGGGTGACTGCATCAGCAGCATCGAGTTGGTTGATTTAGTTGGTGTTGGTCCTGCTCTGAGCAGGGGGTTGGACTAGATGCCCTCCTGAGGTCCCTTCCAACCCTGATATTCTATGATCTGCAACAACAGGCGAAGGAGAGAGGCGGGCTCTGCCGAGCCCCAGATTCCCATCGGTTTCGCTATGGGCAGAGGAGCCAGCCACATCTCACAACAACCCCGCCCGCCCGCCTTCTGCCCAGGCGGCCGCACTGGGCAGAAGGGATCGGGCAGCAGCACCAGCCACACGCCTCAGCTCCCAGCTAGGGCAGAGGGGAAACCACTAGCAGCAGCGTGGCACATGCGCTGGCGGTGCACCGTGGGAGCTGTAGTTTATCATCCCTTGCTCACCCCCGCTTCCCGGTACGGCGCAGCCGGGGCGGCCAAGGGGAACTACAGCTCCCAGGGTGCAGAGCGACCCGCTTTTCTCCTCCCTCCCCGCCCCGTATGAATGACTAATACAACATGTTGTCCGGCGGCTAACGTGCCCCTCGGAGCAGGAGAGCGCCGCTCGCCTTTGCTTCTCCTCCTCCTCGCGGCGGTGTCTGAGCAGCCGCGATCCTGCCTCCCTCCCGGGGCACTCACACGCGAGCGGCGCCCGCAAAGTAAGTCAGTGGGGGCGGGGGCTTAATTCTGCATCCCGGCTCGTCCGGGCTAAATGCACCGAGGCGGGGGCTGCCCTGGCTGTTCCGCGGCGGCGGCAGCAGCATGTTGTTGCCATGTTGCAGCTGTGCGGCGGGCTCAGGCACAGTTTGGGGAGTCCGAGGTCCATGCGGCAGCTACACTGTGCCTGCCTGCGACAGTGTGTCCAAGAATCCGGAGTGGGGTGGGGGATGTCACATTGTTCCTCCTGCTTCACGTATTCCAGGCTCTTTGCAGAGATTTTACCAGGAGGGAAGTTTAATATTAAGATCCAGGATATCCGCCTTTGCCTCCCTCTTCCCCCCCCCCCCCCCCCCCCCCCCCCGTCTCCACGAAACATGTTTCACTCGAAAATATCGGCTCTCTTAGTGATTCTCCACCCTGAAGTGGGGTTCTTCTTTGGGCGAAGGGAGTGCGTGTGAAGGAAGAGTTCAGAAAATGTCATAGTTGCCGAGCTTTTGTTTGATCAGGAAGTTGGTAGCATATGGGGTGTGGGACTGAGAAAATTCATACCCTGGAACTTTTGTAATCTTTCCAGGGGCCTTGTGACACGACAGAAACTGACCACACCATGCTATTTAACGTATGTGTCACAAAGTACTTGAGTGAGGTAAAAGCTTCTTCTAATCACTTCCTGCTCTGCCCTCCTCCAACTGCTTCATTCCTTTCCCAGGTGCTGGGGGTGGCTCACGTTGCTCATGGCAGTCAGTTAATTAGGAACAGTGCACTTTTAAACCTATAATTACTAGAAAGTTTTATGCAAGGTACTATTTACATGCATGAACAGTTCTTTCCATGGGAGAAGTCCCTTCACAAGCAGAATTGTTTGGCGTTATTTTCTTAGTCAGCAAAGTTCTGAAGCTTTGTGAAGAGTTATCTTTTTAACAAACTTCAAAAGAAAATCAGAAGCAGTCATGAAGGGGCAAAAGTGCATCAACTTAAACCAAAGGTTGCAAATTGTTATATCTATTGCTGAATAACTTTAAACAACTTTCAGGGTTCCCCCTCCGCACCTCATTATGTAGTGGAGAAAATAATTGAAAATCAATATTAGGTTTAAATAAGCTGTAAGCCTTAAGTTCTGTGTGAGGATGTAGAATATGATAAAGATACAATTATTGGTGAGTGTGAATAACCAGATAGAGTGGCTGTCAGATTTGCTGTCAGCAAAGCAATGTAAGTGAAGTAGCATGTTCTCGTGGACTGAACACATGGCTGGGAGGTAGGAACTCTAACCCAGGGTATGCCACTGCCTTGCTAGATGGCCTTATGCAAGTTGCTTTAAACTATCTGTGCTTCAGTTCCCACTTTTGTAAAACGGAAATAATGATATTCAGCTCAGAGCAGGACTTTAAACATTAAAGGAGATGTGTAAAGGAGAGAGAAAAAGCCATTTTTCCCACCACCTGTCCCCTGAGCTGCATTCAGGGCCAAAGCAGCATGAAGCATTTAAAAAGGCTTTCTTTGTACATCATAGCTTCGTAGTTTCCAAGGCCAGATGGGACCACTGTTGTCCTCTAGTCTGATTGCCTATACAATGCAGGTCAATGGCCATAGAACTTCCTCAGCATAATTCATAGATTAAGAGTGGACATAAACCCAATTTAGAGTAAAAAATCCATCTTTAAGACAGTGGTCCTGCAAATGGTTGCACAAATCCTTGTACAAATTCTCGTTGGCTTCAATAGGTCTGCATCCTGGTGCATGAGTCTGTATTAACAGGCAGTATGGCAGGATCAGGATCGCGGTGGTTGTGTGGTGATTTGAAAACAGAAGGTGCTAAGAGCTTTGGACACTTCTGTGATTTTTGTTTGTTTTTGTTTTACTTCAGTCTTAAAAAAACAACAACAACCACTTTCCCTCCCCTCACATTTTTGTCTTCATACTCCTGTTTTCTTGTCAGATGTTAGTATTGTGCCATAACTTACAGTAAACTCCTGTAAAATAAAGCGCTTGAATTAAGCTCTGAAAGTAGTCGTGGTTCACACAGATCTTGGTAGCAAATTTTTGGCCCCAAACCTGCCAGCATTTCAGCACATGCTGAACTTTACACTTGGGACTACTCCTATGTGTTGCTGTTTGCAGGATTGGGGTATTTATTTTTAACCAGGTTCCAGGGAAAGTGTTTGACTTTTGGATGTTTTTGTTTATTGTTTTTATAAGGGTTTACCTGTTTGAGAGACTTTCATTTTGTATTTACTGAAGTAGAAAACAACTTGACAACTGCTAACTGTTGCTTCTGGAGGAAAAATGCCCAAGAGATTAAACTTTGCAAAGTGACACTGTACCTGTGCATGCATGGCACTGTCAGTAGTTTTCCCTAAGAATTATCAAATTTAACTATATGCCTGGAGAATGTTCATTTTGCATTGGTCTTTTGAGTAAATAAGATGGATTCTGTTCCTTTTAATTAACCTAAAAAAACAAAACAAATGCACAAAATAAAGGAAATTTTCTTCTAGGACTTTCAGTCCCGCATTTTCAACAAACATTAAACTTACAGGGAAAAATACATTTACATAATATTATCTCTAGATATTTAAATTGCTTGATTATAGTGGGTTGATTGGGTTTCTTGGTCAAAAAATGGTTACAGAATTCATTGTCTTATCCTTTTTCTGTTTGTGGATTAAGCAGATTCTCGTGTTTCAGCAATTTGATTTTTCTAGGTTTTGAGTTTTGATTGGGGGAGGGGAAGAGCTACCTGTATCGGGTGACTAGACAGCAAGTGTGAAAAATTGGGACAGGGGGTGGGGGGTAATAGAGCCTATATAAGAAAAAGACCCAAAAATTGGGACTGTCCCTATAAAATCGGGACATCTGGTCACCCTATACCTGTAACATCAGCATCTGTAACCCTAGCATCCCAGTGTTCTAACTGTATACTCATGTCTTGTTTAATTCAATGGTGATAGTGTTAAATAGATTTTTTTTTTTGGGGTGTATTCTTACTGCTACATGCTGAAAAATTATAAGTCAGGCACAGATCTAAGGCCTTTCTTGTTTTTTGGGAAAGGGAGGTGAGTGTGGAGGGGAACCACCTGGAGTAGGAATAAAATGTAAAATGTCTTTGGGCGGGGGGGGGGGGGTGTTGGTTACAATTTTTGTTCTTAAATACTGAGATGTAGTCTGCCTTATGCATCAAATGTCAGTGTTCTTTCTTGAGCAATAATATTGAAGCAGGTGGGCAGACTTGTAGGAAAGAGATCTTTATTGAGTATGTTGAGTGGACAGATCCAAAATTTCAGGGGGTGTCGAGATCCAGTGTTCTGGTCTGGATCTATCTCTAACAGTAAGATAAATGGAAGCTGGGGGGAGAGGTAGATACGCTGGAGCAGGGGTGAGCAAACTTTTTGGCCCGAGGGCCACATCTGGGTATGGAAATTGTATGGCAGGCCATGAACATGAATGCTTACAAAACTGGGGGTTGGGCTGCGGGAGGGCTCCAGCTGGGAGTGTAGGCTCTGGGGTGGTGCTAGGGATGAGGAATTGGGGGTGCGGGAGGGTGCTCTGGGCTGGGACTGAGGGGTTCGGAGGACAGGAGGGGGATCAGGGCAGGGGTTTGGGGCACGGGAGGGAGTCAGGATGACAGGATCCGGGTGGCGCTTACCTCAAGCAGCTCCCAGAAACAGTGTCATGTCCCCCGTCTGGCTCCTACGTGGAGGCGTGGCCAGGCGGCTGTGTGCACTGCCCTGTCCACAGGTGCCGCCCCTGCAGCTCCCATTGGCTGCAGTTCCTGGCCAATGGGAGCTGCGGGGGCAGCGCTTGGGGTGGGGGCAGCGTGCGGAGCCCCCTGGCTGCCCCTACACATAGGAGCTGGAGGGGGGATGTGCCACTGCTTCCGGGAGCCATGCAGAGTGGAGCAAGCAGGGCAAGCCCCAGACCCCACTTCCCGGCGGGAGCTCAAGGGTCAGATTAAAACGTCTGGAGGGCCGGATGTGGCCCCCGGGCTGTAGTTTGCCCACCTCTGCTCTGGAGGGTAGGGATAGGGTCCAGAGAGACCTAGACAAAGTGGAGGATTGGACTAAAAGAAATCTAATGATGTTCAACAAGGGCAAGTGCAGAGTCCTGCCCTTAGGATGGAAGAATCCCATGCAGTGCTACAGGCTGGTGACCGACTGGCTAAGAGGCAGTTCTGCAGAAAAGGATCTGGGGATTACAGTGGATGAGAAGCTGGATATGAGTCTACAGTGTGCCCTTGTTGCCAAGAAGGCTAACGACATATTGGGCTGCATTAGTAGGAGCAATGCCAACAGATTGAGGGGAAGTGATTATTCTTCTCTATTTGGCACTGGTGAGGCCACATCTGGGGTATTGTGTCCAGTTTTGGTGCCCCCACTACCCAAAGGATATGGACAGGTTGGAGAGAGTCCGGCGGAGGGCAACGAAAATGATTAGGGGGCTGGGGCACATAGCTTACGAGGAGAGGCTGAGGGAACTGGGCTTGTTTAGTCTGTAGAAGAGAAGAGTGTGGGGGGATTTGATAGCAGCCTTCAACTACATGAAGCGGGGTTCCAAAGAGGATGGAGTGAGGCTGTTCTCAATGGTGGCAGATGATAGAACAAGGAGCAATGTTCTCAAGTTGCAGTGGGGGAGGTCTAGGTTGGATATTAGGAAAAATTTCACTAGGAGGGTGGTGAAGCACTAGAATGGGTTACCTAGGGAGGTGGTGGAATCTCCATCCTTAAAGGTTTTTAAGGCCTGGCTTGACCAATCCCTGGCTGGGATGATTTAGTTGGGGTTGGTCCTGCTTTGAGCAGGGGGTTGGACTAGATGACCTTCTGAGGTCCCTTCCAACCCTGATCTTCTATGATTTTATGAATATAAAATACTACACACATACTTCATGGCAGAATTATTTCCAAGGAAAGCTGAAGGCACAAAGAAATCATAGCTCTGCTGGGGCCACAGAATTTGAGAACTAGCAGCCTGGAGAGTGGAATCAGCATGCATTCCTGCATCC